TTCATGAAGGGGAAATGAATACATTCAAAGTGCTCTGCCTTACTTGAACCCACTCCATTCTTGCCTGCTCTGCGTGGAATGAGATGGAATGGGTGGAGGGATGCCAAGCACAATGCTGTTGGGGTTCTGGACTGGGTGATCTGCTGTTAGTGCCTTCTGATTGAGTCCAGTCTTATTGAGGTTATACGGCATGAAAGCCCTGATGAAGCACATAAACCCTCTGAATCACATACTCTGTTTTATGTCATTCTGACAAGATTGAATTAAAAGTCCTTTCTGGAATCTACAAACATTGGTGTGGCGCAAACTGTTTTATGTTTTTGGATGTCTTCCAGGACTACAGCTGTGCCATGAGACCATCCTCTCCAAAGCTAGTTGGCATGATTACCTGAATGGGTCACTTGCAATATATTATTGTAAAAACAGATCTGTCTTTTTTTTTTTTTTTTTTATTATATCTCCCTGTATTGTGACCCTCCATTCCCCCATACCAGACCGCTTGCAGAGTGCCCCTTCTGCTGGGTATGGAGAGAGTCACAGATTGCAGGTTTTTGGGTACAGTGCAGCTAGAGAGGGGAATTACAGTTTGCAGGGTGATTAGCAGTGTTAACTTTGTTGGCGAAAATGGTTTCATCATAATTTCCATCAAGGGCATGTTTCCAGTGTCAAAAACTAAATGAATACTAATTCCAATTTTCATCAAGGAATGAAAACATAATGTTAGGGAGGGATGTTTACTCGTGAACTTCCATGTTCCTACGCCTGTGTGAGTATTTGCCCCCCCAAAAACCCCCCCCCCCCCCCCCCCCCCCCCCCCCCCCCCCCCCCCCCACCCCCCCCCCCCCCCAACCCCCCCCCACCCACCCCCCCCCCCCCCCCCCCCCCCCCCCCCCCCCCAAAAAAAAAAACCCCCCCCCCCCCCCCCCCCAAACCCCCCCCCCCCCCCCCCCCCCCCCCCCCCCCCCCCCCCACCCCCCCCCCCCCCCCAATCTTGTAGCAAGGTAGCGAACATAGCATGCCAGCACTGTCTGTGCCACTGAATTCCAGTATCTGTGCTTGTAGGTATCTGTAGAAATTTTTTGTTGTGTTCAGTTACTTGAACTGTTAGGGTAGATTTTATTTAAATCTCTAGTGAAAAGGCTTGATTTAATTCATAATTTTAAAGAGCAACTGTCATCTCTGTCCCGCAGCGGCTCTCCTCTGACCCGCTGTTGACTCACACCGACAGTCCTATTCACTTTAATGGGATGGCTGTGATGTGGCGGTGACACAAGGTGAGGGATTTTAGGATGGAGATGGAGTTGGAGTCTCAAATTGCCTGGTGATCCACAGTGACATCCTGAGTGCTTTGTGATGTCACCAAAGGGATGGGTGGCATTTCGGTTTGATTACGGCAGAGAAGCTGCTCATGTACTTGCAATATACTAAATTGAATACCTCTGCTAAAGACCAATTTATTCAGTTGAAATATCTACATACTATACGTATAGATTGCACCACATCAGCCCCACCCTATATCAAGCAGATGGCTCTGGAGATAGGCACCATTTATCATATAGTGTGGAGTAGTCTTTGAATCCTGAATTGGTATCAGGTGGTAGTTAGACTATCCACAGCAACTGGTTAACCCCTGAGTGGATACATGGGTTTTCCCATTTGGGAAATGATCTCACAGCCCCCAAAATATGTTAAACGTCTGATTTTCTCTGCATCCTACTATGCTAGGTGAGAAATACCCCTTAGGTGGACTCTCCCCCCTCCTATGGGGAATGGTGTACCACTATTCAGAATGTACTACTAGCTGTGTGCCAACTGACATCTTTGATCAGTGGCAGCCTAAAACAAATCTGTTCCTTCCGTCACCAACCCCCTCCCTCCATACTGAGGACTCCACTTACTGTTTGGTCATCTTTGCTCTAGTGGAGATGTGGAGTTGCTATTGCATATAACTTTTTCCTCACTTTTCAATTTACTGTCACTTTTAAAAAGGAACAGGAGCGGCAAGCACCCTTGCCATCTAACAACAGTAGCTGCAAACTCGTAGACAAAAGTGCAGCAGTCACCTCAAGCTACAGGAATGGGTTGGAGGGGTTCTGTCACAAAATCCCTTGATCAGCTCCTTACCTTTAGTTCCCCTACAGCTCCTCCTGATCAGCAGAGGCCACTAACAAACTGACTGTAAGGAGTGGCCGCACGTGGAGGCATTCCTAGTGACTTACCTTGGAGTGGCCATGCTGGAGTCACTCAGCTTGCCTCAGCCTGCGCCTGTCCTTTCCAGCTCCCACAAAAACAGCAGGGAACAGAGGTTATGAAAACTGGACTGTCTGGCTCAAAACCAGCCAGGTGGTAACTCCTTACTCATCGCCAATGCTTACAGCATTGTAGTAAGCAGATGTGTCATTGTCATCCAGCCACAATCCCTGACACTTCCATACAGTAACACTGCAGCCTAAGGGAAATCAGCAGTGACAGGGGAGGTCTCCGTTCCTGTTACCACACTCACACCTGGACACAGCGCTGCCTCCGACTCCAAAGAGCTCACCCTAAGGACTCCTGGAGGTCGTGGGATTGTCACATTAAAACAATTTCCTTAAAGAGGTAAGAAAAACCACATATATTTGTGTCAAAACACTTTATTAAAATGTGCACAGTTACAAAAGTGTTATCATACTATTCTAATAAATTACAAAGTGGTGTACAGCATTTCATCAAATACACACAAAAAACCTGCAAGGAGGATACTGAACCGTAACAAAATACTAAATATTATCCATTAACCACCTCCCACCCTATAGTGCAATGACGGGCGCAAGTCGGTTCTCTCGTTCTGGGAGGATGTCATATGAATTCCTCCCATTCTAACCGCGCAGCTCCGGGAGCGCGCAGCGTGGCAATCGGCGGTGCGCTGTGTCCCTCGGACACAGCGGATCACCGATCAATGGAAAGAGCCGAAGATGTCGGCTCGGTCATGTGATCAGCTGTGTCCAATCCCAGCTGATCACACAGATCAAACAGGGAAATGCCGGTTATCGGCATTTCTCTCCTCACAAGCTGTCACGCTGACAGCTTGTGAGGAGAGGAGAGCCGGTAATCGGCATTACTCAGAGGGGACATGTGCACTGATGATCAGTGTAGCCCCAGCAGTGCCACCTGCCAGTGCCCATCAGTGCCAGCTCTCAGTGCTCATCTATGCCACCTGCCAATGCCCATCAGTGCTACATTTCAGTGCCTACCAGTGCACATCAATGCCACATATCAGTGACCATCTGAGCTGCCTTTTAGTGTCACCCATCAGTGCCGCCTGTCACTTCCCATCAGTGCCCCCTATCAGTGCAGCCTATCAGTGCCCATCACTACAGCCTCATTAGTGCACATCAGTGAAGAAGAAAAATCACTTATTTACAAAATTTTATAACTAAAAAAAAAAACTTATTTTTCAGTGGTTTTTGGTTTTGTTTAAGAAAAAAAAAACCCAGAGGTGATTAAATACCACCAAAAGAAAGCTCTGTCTAAAAAAAAAAAAAAAAAAAAAAGATAAAAATGTCATATGGGTACAGTGTTGCATGACCGTGCAATTGTAATTCAAAGTGTGACAGCGCTGAAAACTGCAAATTGGCCTGGGCAGGAAGGGGGTATAAGTGGTTAATATATTCTTTGAAATTTGCTTTATGTAAACACTGTGCTAATACCTTTTGATGAAGTTACATTTATCTGATATATCCTCTGCCACCAGCCCCCTCCTAGTCTTATACTGGCCGTACATGGGTTTGTTTTATTTTTTAATTTAACCTGATGGTTGAACAAAAAAAAAAAAAACTAACCTGATTCCCTCTGTCACGGAGTGCCTGCTCCTCTTCTGCCCCCACGCCCCTGGTGCTGGTCTTCCCTGTGTCCCCTCACCCTCTTCTCATCCTGTTGCAGCCTTTGAAGATAGGCTGCACAGGATGAGAAGTGTCACCTCCTCACATCCTGACGCAGCCTTTAAAGACAGGCTGCGCAGGATGGGAGGAGGAAAGTGACCCCTGTGGCGGAACTCGCAGCTCTCCCGGCCAAGATTGCGGCGCGGGGCCGCTGACCTGTTGCCGTGCGCCCTCCGGCGGGTGCAGCGCGGGCACAAGGCTTCCCACACCCACCAGAGACAAAGGCCGCACTCTCGAGAGCGCGGCCCGTGTCAGGGAGGCGTGGCTTGTTGCCCTGACATACGTGGTGCTGGGCCGGACGTTGCCGGGGCAACTGAGAAGCGTCCTGGGCTGGCCTTAAAAAGGCCAGCGCGGGACCCAGCCGGCGTCTTCCACCGCTGCTGTCCCTGAAGCCGTTGGGAAGTCCGGGTTGGGACCGGACCTCCGCAGCAATCCCCGCTGGGTACTCTGCATAATACCCCCGAAGTCAGGACTATTACCCGCTGCCACTCTGCCTAATACTCTGGGATCGGGAGAACCCGCTACCACTCTAATACTCTGGGACGGGAGTACCCGCTGCCACTCTGCTAATACTCTGGGTCAGGACTATTGCCCACTGGCACTCTGCCTAATACTCTGGGGCCAGGATTACCCGTTGCTGCTGTGTGCCAGAACTACCTGCTGTGGGCCCCACGATATGCTGCCTAATACTCTGGGGCCCAGATTACCCGCTGCTGCTGTGTGCCAGAACTACCTGCTGTGTGGATTATCTGCTGTGTACTGAGGGTTGTTGTTGCCTGCTGCCGGCCTCTGGGAGCCAGAAGGGACCCCTGCCAGAACTGTGAGTGTCGATACCCCTGCTGCCCCTGCCTGGACTGTCCGTGACTTCCCCCCTTACTTTACCCTGCCTGGACTGTCCATGAGCCCCTCCATTACCCTGCCTGGATTACAATTTACCAGAGACTCCAATTTTGCCCTACCTGGGGCCAGATTACAATTACTTCAGGCTCTGCCCTCTATTTCCCTTGTTTGGGTACCCGGGACGCTACCTGCCTACCCTAATTGAGTGTCTCCCATATGTCAATAAAGCTTTGTGTGTTTATCATCATCTGTGTGTGTTCTGTTCTGCCTACCCCCGTCATACCCTCATCTACACATTTGAAGTAGATGGAGGAATCTTCCATGTGTCTATGTATTCTGACAGCGGGGACTCCCCCAATATCAGAATACACAGATCAGCACTTCAGTCTATTGCCTGTTGGGCTGATCAAGAAGAAAATACTGACAGGGTGATTGAACAGAAATAGATCTGTAGATTGACTTCTGTTCAACCACAGGAGTCACACATGGATTGATATTCAGCTAGTCATTATTGAACCTGGACGAATTTCAATCCATGTATGGGCAGCTTTGGGGTCACCTTACAATCTGACCATACAATCAGCTTTAGATTTACCAAACTTACCCCACCCATAGACGGTTCGAATCTGAGCCAGTTCAGCAGGATCCGGACTAAATTTCAACCAGGTATGGGCAGACTGAATGTACCCAAGTTGATCGATCAAGTTGAGTATAACCAGTCTGTCTGATTTTACATGCGATTATTGCTAGAGGCTATTATAGCTGCTAGCAGTAATCACCACGTTCTCCCAGTGAGGGAGGACACCAGGGATCCGTGGGATGGATTCCCCCATCAACACTGAATGTCCTGGGTTGCAGGAAAGAAAATCGCTCTGTCTATGGCTGGCTTAAGAGCAGCTACCCAATCCACACAATCACTTTGTATCCAATCAGGCTAGCACTTGCACTACATAGTTTTTGGCAGATCTTATTGAGATTGTACAACCAGATTGTAATGTGTATGCTGCGTTTTTATACTCGCCCATTCCTGATCCAGTATTAGATCACTTACTAAATTTGTCAACATTTTCCCAGCCAGGCACTCTTGTCACCCATTAATTACTATGAATTGTGAAATATGAGATCATACTTGGAAGTCTATAGGAATGAATGGGTGTACCATTAAACACTTTTTTCTTTAAGTCATGAATTCTAAGCTCTAAGAAAACTTTCCCCAGCAGACATTTTAATACATGTAAGGGTGCAAAAAAAAAAAAAACTTGCTATTTTCTCCATGGACCAACACTTGCCCCAGGTCCATCAGTGCAGCATTTCCTGCCAATGAGCGCACTTGCTGGATAGAAGGTGATCGAAGGACCAGGTGCTGTCCCCAAAGTCTGAAAAAGAAATACCTGCAAAAAAGATGGAGAACTTACCTTCCCAAACTCTGAGCACTCACATCAGAACACGGCTTTGTTTAAGGCAAGGTTCACATCTCAGCTTGTGCTTCCAAGTCAGAAGTCTCCAAACTTTGGAAACAAAGGGCCATTTTACTGCCCTACAAATATTAGGGGTCCAGACTGTGTCCAGTGGGAGTAGAAAAAATCCTGGCATCAGTGTGAGTAAACAATGCCGTGGACTTGGTGCTCAGTGGGAGTTAAAAAAAAAAAAAAAAAAAATTACATTATTGGTGTCAGTGGGAGAAATAATGCCCCATAATTGGTGTCACTGGGAGAATTTGTTCCCCATCTCTGGTGACAGTGGAAGGAATAGTACCCCATTGTTGGTGTCAGTGGGAGGAATAGTACCTCGTTGGTGTCAGTGGGAGGAATAGTGCCCCATGGGCTGGATAAAGGCAAGCAAAGGGCCACAGTTTGGAGACCCGTTCTAAGCCCTTTCATTTGAATGGGCTGCTGTATAGTACCTGCGTTTCCTGCAGGGTGAAGGTTCCAGACCCTTTTTTAAAAGCAGCCACATGGCATCACATGACACTTTTGCACCATGCAGTTTTATGCACCCTAAAATACGCTGTGTTTTCTGATATGTGGGGGGGTGATTAAGAATTAATGACACACTCTGCATGTCTACAAAACAGAGCAGCACAGTTTGACTGTGGGTGTGGGACCGTGTGCAAGTTACATGCTGAGCCCAATAGAAAGTTTCTGCTAAAGTTTACTGGAGAAGAGACACCTCCAGGAGTGTTGATCTTCTGGAACTCGGGCAGTACTCAATGGTTCCTCCTGCTGAATACCATATCACTGTACTTACATGGAGGTTGTGGAAGGAACTACTGAGCGCTGCGGGCGGGGTATATTTCTTTGTCAACCCTAAGGGCCCATTCACTACCTGCCTGTGAATCACGCAGGAACATTGTGCTCTGTGCGATGCGATTTCAACCCAATAAGTGGAAATGGGCTGAAATCGCAGTGGAAATGTATGCAACCGGATCACATGGTACATTTATACCATGCGATCCACAGCGGGCAAACACTCTGCGTTTGCCACCTGTATTGCACCGAAGGCAGTGCGAGTGGAATGTGGTGTGGGAAGCAACCATGGAATGCGGGTTACCTACGCGGTGTTGTAGTGTGAACAGGGCCTAAAGCCATATTCCAGCTTCCTGTCACTTTAAAAAATTTATTTTGGTCCAACCTGGTCCAGATGCAGCCGCTGTAGCATGAGCTACATACAGTATCCAGCTCTGCGTTGCTGAAGCAAGACGGGGACTTCCCAGCCCACTCCTGGAATAAAACGGAGTTAGGCTGAGCGTTGCTCAGACATTCATGGTAAGATTTGTATTTTTTAAATGAATACAAGGCTTCCTCTGAAGAGACAGATGGATGATGTCTTGATCTCCACCTCAGCCAATCACAGGAAGCCTTGTATTAATCCACAAGATACAAAGCTTCCTGTGAATGGCTGAGCAGCACTCGGCCTGACTCAGTTTTGTAGCGGGAAGTCTCCACACCACAACACAGTGCTGTATACAGCTCATGCAGCGCCCACAGCGGGGACATCTGTTAGTGAAGAAAATTATCTGATTGGACCAAGCTAACTTTATTAAAGTGACAGGTGGAATTTGGCTTTAAAAGGGAATGTGAACTGTGGAAGTGTGAAAAGCAAATAGATAGCAAAGGACTAATCCCCACTATTGTATCCTCCATGGAGCTCTTCTTTATTACTGACTTCCTATGTCTGGCTCTGTACTGTGTCTCTGGGGGAAGAAGTCCATCTTGGTAGAGGGGCGGAGCTTTGATTCCTCAGGTCAGAGCTCCTCCCCTGATGGCTGGTAAGCTCGGCTCTACAGAATGAAATCAGGAGATACATAAAATACAGGAGATTCTTCCACTCCAGCTCCGCAGGTATGGCTTCCTCTATAGCACTACAGTAATGACATCACCAAATCACACTCTAAAGCATTATTAAACCCAAACCCAACAATGTAATCTATTGCAGCTTTCCAATCATTAGATGTGATGGCTGCATTCATGTTATTAGGCTTTTCCTCTCTGTTTCCACCTGGTGATCTTGCTAGTAACACACCTCTGTATTAGAGTGTCCTCACTCTGGATGAAGGAGCACAGGGGACATAGCAGACAGCAGCATATACTATTAAATATACTAGCAGATTTAAATACATTAACAAATCAAAGCCAAACTCCAGCTCACAGTTTATAATCAGTTACAGCAAACAGTTTATATTTTTTTTATATCTTTTCATGTGACAACACTGAAGAAATGACACTTTGCTACAATGTAAAGTAGTGAGTGTACAGCTTGTATAACAGTGTAAATTTGCTGTCCCCTCAAAAATAACTCAACACACAGCCATTAATGTCTAAACCGCTGCAAACAAAAGTGAGTACACCCCTAAGTGAAAATGTCCAAATTGAGCCCAACTAGCCATTTTCCCTCCCCAGTGTCATGTGACTCTTTAGTGTTACAAGGTCTCAGGTGTGAATGGGAAGCAGGTGTGTTAAAAAAAGAATTGTTGCTCTACATAAAGATGACCTAGGCTATAAGAAGATTGCTAAGACCCTGCACCTGTGCTCCAAGCCTCATTGTGAAGCCGAGTTCCGGTTTCCAACTTCTGGTTTCCGACCTCTTCGACACCGCCACTGAGGGGACAGGTGCAGGAGAGATCCGCTCTCCTCCGCTGAGAGGAGACACCCTCTCCACCGCCGCGGGGGACTCGAGGAGAGGTCCGCTCTCCCCCCGCCTTGGACACGAGGCCTGCTTTCCACCACCTTGAGGGACACGAGGCCCGCTCTCCACCACCTTGGGGGACACGAGGCCCGCTCTCGAGGCCCGCTCCCACCACCTTGGGGGACACGAGGCCCGCTCTCCACCACCTTGGGGGACACGAGGCCCGCTCTCCACCACCATTGGGGGACACGAGGCCCCGCTCTCCACCACCATGGGGACACGAGGCCCGCTCTACACCACCTTGGGGGACACGAGGCCCGCTCTACCACCACCTTGGGGGATACGAGGAGAGGCCCCGCTTGGGGGACACGAGGCCCATTCTACACCCGCCTTGGGGGACACGAGGCACTACAACCTTGGAGGGAGGCCCGCTCTACACCGCCTTGGGGGACACTAGGAGGGGCCGGCTCTACACCGCCTTGGGGGACACTAGGAGAGGCCGGCTCTACACCGCCTTGGGGGACACTAGAGGCCCGCTCTACACCGCCTTGGGGGACACTAGGAGAGGCCCGCTCTACACCGCCTTGGGGGACACGAGGAGAGGCCCGCTCTACACCGCCTTGGGGGATACGAGGAGAGGCCCGCTCTACACCGCCTTGGGGGACACGAGGAGAGGCCCGCTCTGGTGTACACCGCCTTGGGGGACACGAGGAGAGGCCCGCTCTGCACCGCCTTGGGGGACACGAGGAGAGGCCGGCTCTACACCGGCGTGGAGGACACATGAAGGAGAGACCCACCAATGGTGCACATCACTACACCCACCAGCTTAAGGTAAATTACATTTTTTGTGTTGCGCTCTGAGGGCAAAATGATTTTGAAAAGAGTAGAAAAAAAAAACACCAACAACGTTAAAAAAAAAAAAAAAAAACAACCATTTTAATGCTGCTCTCTGGGGCCTAAATATTTCAAAAAGTAAAAAAGAAAAGAAAAAAAAAAGCACAGCACACTTATGCACAATCAGCTACAAATTTGATTTAAAATAAAAATAAAATTGGTAGCTGACTATGCATAGGAACACATCTTCATATGGTAGTAGTGAAAATTATCAGTGCCCTCCCAGTTTTGACTGTGGTATCTTATATGCACCCTGTTTATTTTCCTAGGGTTGTCATTGGTCCCTCACAATTGTAAAGCGTGGACAGACCCACCAAGGAAGCAGCTGTGTTCCACCCTGCTCCTGAAAGGCAGCCCAGCCAGCAGACACATCGAGCCACCAGAGGAGCCTTCAAGCAGACTAGCCTTCAATCAGGCCAGCCTTAATCTGAAGTGGCGTTAATCTGAACTGCCGTTGAGCTGAGCAACTGCCGTTGATCTGAACTGCCTTTAATGCAAACTGCCATTGAGCTGAACTGCCGTTGAACTGACCTGCCGTTGAGCTGAATTGCCTTGTTTAATCTGAACTGCCGTTGAGCTGACCTGCCGTTGAGCTGACCTGCCTTTGATCTGAACTGCCGTTGAACTGAACTGCTTTGTTTAATCTGACCTACCATTGAGCTGAACTGCCTTGTTTAATCTGAACTGCCATTGAGCTGAACTGCCTTATTTAATCTGAACTTCCATTGAGCTGAACTGCCTTATTTAATCTGAACTGCCGTTGAACTGAACTGCCTTGTTTAATCTGAACTGCCGTTGAACTGAACTGCCTTGTTTAATCTGAACTGCCGTTGAGCTGAACTACCTTGTTTAATCTGAACTGCCGTTGAGCTGAACTGCCGCTCAGATGACCTGCCTTCAAGCAGACCAGCCTTTTAAGCAGGCCATCAATCAGACCAGCCAGCAGACCAGACTTTAATCAGGCCATCAATCAGACCAGCCATCAATCAACCAGCCAGTCAGCCATCAATCAAGACAGCCATCAATCAAGCCAACCAGCAGACCAGCGTTTAATAGGCTCAGCCAGCAGAAAGGCCTATAGGCAGCCAAGACTGGTCTTGATAGTGCAACTAGCATGATCACATGTCATGGAGGATCTTCTCCAGCCTGAGTCATCTGTGGCAGCCCAGACGTAATACAAAAAAGTGGTTCTAATTTCCAGTATTGACCCCATATCTCATGCCTGTGAGTTTTTCCTTATTTTTTTTTTTTCGGTCTCCTTGTTTACACTGCAACATGAAACAGAGCAAATTAAGATTTTTTTTTTTTTCACAGAAAAAGATCATCCTACTATTGTGGAGTCCCACAATTTAAGTTTTGGATAGAGTGGAAAGAGATTAGAACATCTGTCAGGTTTTTATTGCAGTCTGTGTCCTCATCAGAGAGATTCACCCTCTCTACTTGTCCTGTTAACCATTATCATTGAAAGTAAAAGAACATTTTGGATGTTCCCAAATAAGTAGGGGAAAACTTCCATTGGGAGCACTGGTTCTGGTGACCTAGGAGCCACCAAGAATTTCCTTAATTTGCAGAGATTTCCTGTTTGGCTATGGAACAGGAAGTGAAGGTAAATCTCAGCAATGGGCCACAGATGGCAAAAAAAAAAAAAATATTACAGGGGTTAGTACCCTCCCTTACTCTATCCAAAGTGTAAATAAGTTTTGCCTATAGTTCTAATTTAAGTTACTGTTAAACTGAGAGAAACAAAATAGGTTAAAAGAAGCAATTCAAACAGAAAATAGTTTATTCCCATTACTTCCAGTATGAAATCAATGTGCAATGTTTGTATACATTTTTTGTCCGATATATGCATTGTATTGGAAGTCACTTCTTTTTTCCTCCCTTTTTGCCCTTGCCTTTTTTGCCTTTTTTGCCCTTTTCTTTGCCTTTCTTGCTCTTGGATTTCTTGTAGGGGCCCAGGCCTTTCCGTACCATTGTGCCTTTCCACCAAGCTTGGATCTAAAGAGAAGGATAATTATATATCTACCACTGCTTTTTACATTGATCAATAAGTAAATACTGGAACAGTCTTTAAACGCACGTGGACATAACAGAATACTTTTCAAGAGAGCTGCTCGTTTTTGCTATGTAGTAAAATGCAGTAGACTACTGCATGCATAAGAAATGTAAAATTTCACTGTACAAAATGATAGTGAAAATTATTGGAATTATTACCTTGATGGCACTGGATAGTTCTACCTGCTCCTGTTTTTTCTGCTCCTGTGCTTTCTCCTTCTCCAGACGATCTTCAATAATTACTTTTTCATACTCCTCATACTAGAATGTTAAAAAAAAAAAAATTTTCAGTCATGTTGATATGTAAACAAAATAAACATACAAAATTTGATAATGAAAAAGCATAATTTGTAAATTCTTTAATATAAATTTTCTCATTATTTTAAGAAATGCTTATAGCACCATTTACACATGCTGAAAAATAAAATTTTATATATATACAGTTGTGTTCAAAATAATAGCAGTCAGACATCACTAACCTGATCAATCGCTGTTTTTGGTAGAAATTATATCTCTACATGGCAAATAATTTACTAGCAGGTGTAGTAGAGTAATAGAAATCCAACAGACCCAACAGTCATGACATGCATGCTGCTGACTCTGTGTAATTGAATCACTAATTGAAAGGGGCATGTTCAAAAATAATAGCAGTGTGGAGTTCTATTAGTGAGGTCATTCATTCTTTGAAAAACAGGTGGCAATTATTGCCCTTATTTAAGGAAGGAAGGCAGCAAATGTTGTACATGCTGGTTACAGTGCATTTCTCTCTGCAATTCTGAGGAAAATGGGTCGTTCCAGACATTGTTCAGAAGAACAGCGTACCTTGATTAAAAAGTTGATTGGAGAGAGGAAAACATAAAGAAGTGCAGAAAATGATAGGCTGCTCAGCTAAAATGATCGCAAATGCTTTAAAATGGCAACCAAAACCTGAAAGACGTGGAAGAAAGCGAAAAACTACCATTCGAATGGATAGAAGAATAGCCAAAATGGCAAGGACTCAGCCAACAATCAGCTCCAGGAAGATCAAAGAAGGTGTAAAGTTACCTGTGAGTACTGTTACAATTAGAAGACGCCTATGTGAAGCCAAGCTATCTGCAAGAAGCCCCCGCAAAGTCCCACTGTTGAAAAAAAGACATGTGCTGAAGAGGTTACAATTTGCCAAAGAGCACATTGACTGGCCTAAAGAGAAATGGCGCAACATTTTGTGGACTGATGAAAGTAAGATTGTTCTTTTTGGGTCTAGTGGCCAGAGACAGTTTGTCAGACGACCCCCAAACACTGAATTCAAGCCACAGTACACTGTGAAGACAGTGAAGCATGGTTGCGCAAGCATCATGATATGGGGATGTTTCTCGTACTATGGTGTTGGACCTATTTATCGCATACCAGGGATCATGGGTTAGTGTGAATACATCAGAATACTTGAAGAGGTCATGCTGCCTTATGCTGAAGAGGAAATGTCCTTGAAATGGGTGTTCCAACAAGACAACGACCCCAAACACACCAGTAAACGTGCAACATCTTGGTTCCAGACCAACAAGATTGACGTTATGGAGTGGCCAGCCCAATCCCCGGATCTTAATCCAATAGAAAACTTGTGGGGTGACATCAAAAATGCAGTTTCTGAGGCAAAACCAAGAAATAGAGAAGAACTGTGGAATGTAGTCCAATCATCCTGGGCTGGAATATCTGTCCACAGGTGCCAGAAGTTGGTTGACTCCATGCAACACAGATGTACAGCAGTTCTCAGAAACAGTGCTTATACAACTAAATATTCATTAAGTGATTCAAAGGAAAGCAAAATCTTCAAACATTTTTCAGTTTATATAGTGAATGTTTGAGTTTGTAAAGAAGAATACAAACACTGCTATTTTTTTGAACAGTCTAATATTCACTTTTCTTCAACAACACAAATTTGATCTATTTTTCTTCATGTTTTGATTTGGAATAGAATGTGTAGTGTTCCCAATGCATTTGTGTGTATGGAAATAAAAGCTATTAGAAGGATTTTGAGCTTTATTCACTTTTTTCAACACACTGCTATTATTTTGAACGCAACTGTGTGTATATATATATATATATATATATATATATATATATATATAATATAATTCTTGCTCTTACTTGCTTGGCCAGATCCTGCAACAATGTGAGATCATTGACTCTGGCTGTTTTCAAAGCATTCAGTTCAGCTTGCTTTTCTTCTGTGTCTTTGTCATACTTCTCCATCCAGTATTCCAGCTTCTCCTCCAATTCCTGTTTGACAGAAACCATAACATTACTGATACTTTTGGGTACTGCTAAATGTATTCATAGACTAGGCTACATACTGTCTTTTGCTAAGGAAGTTATCCATACTGGTCAGGCTGTAGCATATATGAGTCATTTATTCAAGTTATATTTTAACCACTTGCCCTCCAGAGGATTTACCCCCCTCCCTGACCAGGCTATTTTTTGCAATAGGGCGCTGCAATACTTTAACTGACAATTGTGTGGTCATGCAACACTGCACCCAAATGAAATTTATGTCCTTTTTTTTCCACAAATAGAGCTTTCTTTTGGTGGTATTTGATAACCTCTGCATTTTTTATTTTTTGCTATAAACAAAAAAAGACTGACAATTTTGAAAAAAAAAAAAATATATATATATATATTTTTGACTTTTTCCTATAAAACATATCCAGTAAGAAAAAATGTAAAAAAATAAAATTTTGTCATAAATTATGGTTTATGTGAAAGTTATAGCGTCTACAAATGGCAGTACACACTGGAATTTTCATTTATTTATGATGCCAATCAGCGAATTAGAGTGGGACTGCGGCGAGCATTCTGACACTAACATTCTGACACTGACTAACTGCCACTGACATCCCCAATGACACTAATAGAGTGGTCAGTGCTAATAAAAAGCACTGACAGAGTACTAATGGGCAGGAAGGGGTAACATCTCGGGTGATCAAAGGGTTAACTGCATGCTGTGTGCTTGTTTACCAAGAGTGCTGTGTGTGTTTTATTAGGGAAACAAGCTGCTTTGTATTGCTCTGCTGTGCAGAGCAATACAAAGCAGCCTGTTCATGCTGACAGGGGAGAGATCTGTGTTTACACACAGACCTCTCCCCTTTCACTGTTCTTTGGCGATCGTCGGGTGCCAGTGGGGAATCTCCATCTGGGACCCGGTGATCGACAGCTGTAGCCGCCAGTAACACAGAACTACCTGGAAATGCAAAATTATGTATATATACGTGATTCTGCGCAGCCCTGCCACCTTGTAGCAGTAGTTCTGCTATAGGGCGGTCGGGAAGTGGTTAAAATATTTTGGTTCCAAATATAAGGAAACCAAACAAAACATGGCATTGTTTTAAACAGATAAAAAAAATTGTGCTGCATTCTGTAAACTGTCCTTGTAATGTTTAGCAATACATGTAATGTGTGTTTTGGAAATGTTAGTGCTTGTTTGAAACACCACTTAGACAAAAATCATGTACCTATTTGTTTAAAATAGTACTTCTGGTGACAATAACCTTGCTGTTTGCAGCTCTTACATTGCTAAGATTTTATCAACAATTTCCCCTGTAGGTAAAATGAATCATACTTGTTTTCAGATGTTTATCCGAGTTCCATTTTAAATAAGCATACAAGAGTACCATTATATATCAATAGTTAGATATTAGTTAAACGAGCAATGGAGACCATGAAAGGAAAGTTCATCTGTTAACACATACACACACACACGAACACACACACACACACACACACACACACACACACACACACACACACACACACACACACACACACACACACACACACACACACACACACACACACACACACACACACACACACACACACACATACACACACACACACACACACACACACACACACACACACACACACACACACACACACACACACACACACACACACACACACACGCTGAGGTGTACAGCTGAGTTGAGGCTTTTCTTCACAGTGCAGCATTTCATGAAGCTGCAATGAGGAGTGGAGAAGATGTTCTACACTTCATTGCAGCTCAGTGAGAAAATGCCAGTGACAGAAATGCAAATGGCCAGTTCATTAAGGTGCAATGTAAGCACCTCACTGGCCACTTTATCACTCCCTACTTCTCCAACTCAGAGACGGCGATAGCCAGGAGAGAAGCAGGAAAAGGCCAAGATGTCAGGAGGAACCACTGGGATTTTGTCCACTGCTTCAGCTGTCAAAGCTCTGCAGTCCTATTAAAAGGTAGAACAGGATATACAAAATATATGTCTGTGTGTGTGTGTGTATATATATATATATATATATATATATATATACACACACACACACACACACACATAGAGGCACCATTCATAAATTGCATGTGTCTTCATTTTACATACTTTAAGACCAGCTCTTTTCTGACACCTTTTGTTTACATGTGAAATTCAGTATTTTTTTGCTAGAAAATTACTGTGTTGCAATTTTTTTCATATGGTATTTGTGCAATGGTTTTTCAAACCTCTCCCGCTGCTTGTAAAAGCAATCCAGCAGGATTGCCTTTGCAAGAAAGCTGAATTCCAGCTGAAAAAAACTATACCAGCTGCAGACATCATCCCGATATAATGTTCAGCAATGTACTGGTACATCGCTGGTCCACAAGTGGTTACTTAAAGTGAAATCAACAGAGCACATCACAGTCACAGTCAGGACACATGGTGGTCATCACAGTCACAGACAGAACACTAGAACATATGGTTGTCTTTCCTGTGAATCATTACTATGGCTCTAACAGTAATATGACTTACTTGTTGGTGCTGCCTGAGGAAGTTTTCAATCTCCACATGAACTCTTATCTCCTCATCCATCTTTTCTTTAACCTTCTGTAAGCAGATTTTGGTGGACACAGCTCAGAACAGAATGTTTTATAAGGTAGTCTAAAGTTCAGCAAATACATTTTATACATTCTTTATGCCAAATACAGCAATATATATAGAAATATAAAAGACACCGATGACTATTGCACCACATTTCGTGAATGTGCTGATCTACAGAACATCTGTGCCTTCCTTTCTCCTTCTTTGTATTTTTACAGAATATAGATAGATATCTATTAGGGAATGCACTGGTGCTGACACCGAGTATTTTCACGAGTACTTGTGAAAATGCTCCCGATACCGGAAAACAGATACTTTGCGGTGCGATTTGCATCTATACAAAATGCAAATTGCAAAGCAAAGAATAGCTTGCGATTTGAACAGAAATGCAATTCCTGTCCAAATCATATGCGGTTTTTCCCCACTGCTCCTATGTCAACTCAGGCTTGAAACCTCCCTGCACCAATCTCATGCTGAGCAGAGAGTGGGAGAGAAGGGCATGTGGGACCCTTGGTGGCAGATGCTGCGGACTCCCAGCTGTAGGAGTGGAGAGATAGCCACAGGGATTTCACATTCCCAGACCTGTGAAGCAGCCGTCTATCCTCTCCTTGCACAGATGACAGTACGGGCTAGACGGTTTCTCATTGGTCAGCACTGTCCATTCAAAAGCCCTCTAGACCCAACTGTCATCCCTGCAAGGAGAGGAGAGAAAGTCAAGAGGTTTTGAAATCCCCGTGGCTTTCTCTCCTCTCTTACAGCTGAGAATCCAGAGCATCTGCCACCAAGGTATACATTCCCACAAGCCCTTCTCTCCCACTCAGAATTTCATTAAAGCAAATATTTACTAAATCTGTGTAGCTCCCACATTATAGCTCTGCATGAACAATTTAACTCAAGGGCAATTATGATATATGCACACAAGTGAAATTACACCAAACCCAGAAACTTATATTAGAGATGAAAACTTTCCTGTAGCTACAATGTACGCAGGTCCATTGCGCACATACAGTAAATGTTACCTGTGTCATGACCTGTGTCTGTACAATGCTCACCTGAATCTCCACCTGCAGCTGTGACTCTGCTATACTGCACTTTGTCTGTGTCTGGGACACTTGAAGCTCTGTGTCCTTCCTCACATACTTGCCTTCCATGTTGGTTTTAGCTTTCATTTCTTGTAGCTGATCCTTGAGGTAAGCAATTAGTTCAGTACGGCTCTGGGAACATGAAATGTTAAGCATGAAAAGATTCTAAAGCAAAGTTTATTATTCAGCACAAATGATCACTATTTATTCCTAAGGTGTACAGGCCAGTGCAGGGGCAGACTGACCATTTGGAAACTCGGGCACTGCCCGAGGGCCCGGGGTCAGTAGGGGGCCCCATGAGATGTCCCTGGTAACATTTTCATAGGCTTTTTTTAGTTTGGGCAAGGAAACAGGGGCCCCATTATCCCCTATTGCCTGGGGGCTCCATGAGTTGTCAGTCCACCCTTGGGCCAGTGTGGTTTCCTAGTGCCCATATAGAAGAGACTTGTCAGGACTGGGTGACCATCATCTTATGTTTATAGCCACTTCCAGTCGTAATTGAACTTTTGTACCATCCAGTAATCGGCTGATATTACTCACAGACTTCAGAAAAATATTTGTGAAGACACACACACCCAAAAGTATTTGATTTGGAAGGAGTGAGGGACTGAGCTGGAAATGGTGAGTATTATGCTATGTATTTGTTAAATTTCTTTTTTATTATGTTAAAAGTATCCTTTTGTGCTGCTTCATGCCATAATTAAGCCTATCCATTGGTTGGACCACTCTGCGGTAATAACCACTCCATCACTTATTTCTAAAACCACAGATTCAACATGGACACTCAATGAATCTTACATGGCGAACAAGTCCTTTTGTTTTAATATTAAATTAGCTCTTAAGGAATACCTGCTTCATAAAGCTACCCAAGATGCATCTCCAGGAGGCCAACAAACCTGTCATAAGGGGAACTTGTATTAAAATAGCAACACAACTTAAGCAGGATAAGATAGCTCGTCATCAGGCTCTGGAAATAGATCAATCCCACTTCTTGGCAATTTAACCCCACCCCACCCCACTCCTCATAATAAAACTGAGACCAAGGTGGAATTAGACTTAGTACTAGCGGAAGAAGCAGAAACGGTTATCAGATGATCCTGCCACACTTATTATATGAAAGCTAATAAGTCTGACACTTTACTAGCTTTACATCTCTGTCCTTAGATATGGATAGGAAACCTATTTGTTTGAAACTAGCTAAGGACATATTCCTGAACAATCACATCAAGGTTCTTCATGAATTTAGGACTCATCTCTCTCAATTATTAAAGAGAAGTTATAAAAAAAATAAATGTGGTTTGCTCAGTGTTTAAGATATGTGAGAAAGCGAGTGGTTACAAAACATGGCCTATTGGGCATTCCCAGGCCAGAAGAGTACATAGTAACAGAGAGAGAGAGACAAAAAACACCACCACATCAGCAACTTCTCACTCTTGGGAGTTTGACAAGGAGAAGTGCATCGGGGGCACAAAAGGAAAAAAGCCCTGCAGGGCAAGTAATCTACGCAGTGTATTGGTGTTAAAGAAAAAAAAAAACATAACCAGGACAACGGACACAGCAGAATATAATAAGGAAAATGGCAGCAATAAGATAACAGACCATAAAGGTTAGGTATCATTAGATTATATCTCAGTGTAGGCGTCAGTAGTGTCAGCAGAATTAATCCAGATTTCCAAAACTTTATAAAAAATTTTTCAGGCAGCCCCATAATAAATATATTGCCTTGTAAAAGAGTATCACCGAATTAATCAGAGAACGGCAGTAATCTATGGGCCGCTCATGTCCTCATTTACCTGGCTATTAAATTGACTTCACATCCATCTTCATTGCTGAAAGCAGCAAATTATCTGAGGATACTAGTACATTTAACGTCATTAATGTCTAGTTGGTCCTCATTGAAAGTCTCCTGGTTCGGTCATACAACGGCAGTCAAAATGACACTAGTTTCTAAGATATTAAACCTCTTTAGAATTTTACCTGTTACGGTCCCTTCACATTACCTGAGAATATCACAACACTGGGTTAACACTTATATCTGGGGTGAAGTTAGACCTAGGTTGCCTAGGGTGGTCCTCATGCTAAATTGAATTGTGGTCTTGGCTTACCTAATTTTATTAAATATTATCAGGTTGCCTAGTTGGCTCATTACCACACTGTGAAAGAGGCCCCCTTGTGGCTCAGACTGGAAGCAGCAGAATGCAACCCATTGGCAGTCAACAACCTCCTCTGGCTCCACCCCAATGAATGTAGGACAATCGCCCATCCCATTACGCAATATTATTTGGTGAGAGGGGCTTGTTTAAAAACTTCCTGTCTGTTGTTTGCAGTCTTTACATGTCCCCCTCGTCTTTTTTTGAATAATCCTTCCTTCTATCCAGGCAGTGTAGCCCCAGCCTCATTTAACATCTAGAAATCAATTGGACTTCATCAGATAGGTCGTTTGATTGTGAATACCTCCTTCCACTCATTTGCTTCACTACAGGAGCAATACCAAATCCCAAATTTGGAAATATTCAGATATCTCCAAAAAAAAAAACACTTCCTGTCCACATATACAGATCTACAGACTCAAACATTTTGAGCATATTTGTTATTTGGACCCCCGGGTGCCTGGTCTGATAGACAAGATTTATGCCCATTTGATTTCTATACCAAATTTTGCACCACCAGTTTACGCCTCCTGCTGGGCAGCTAACATTGACATCCTTCCAGAGCCTGAGGATTGGATAGAAAATCTGGAAATCCACCAACTCATTCACAGTCAACATATTAGTGCTGGAAACTAACTACACTGCTCAAAAAAATTAAAGGAACAGTTTGAAAACTCATCATATCTCAATGGGGAAAAATATCATGCTGGATATCTATGCTGACATGGACTGGGTAATGTGTTAGCAATGTAAGGATGGCCCATCGTTTGATGAAAATGAAAATTATCAACCTATAGAGGACTGAATTCAAAGACACCCTGAAAATCAAAGATAAAAATGATGCAGCAGGCGAATCCATTTTGCTGAAATTTCATTGCAGCAACTCACAATGGTACTGAGTAGTTTGTATGGCCCCCAAGTGCTTGTATGCATGCCTGACAATGTCAGGCATGCTCCTAATGAGATGATGGAGGGTGTCCTGGGGTATTTCCTCCCAGATCTGGACCAGGGCATCACTGAGCTTCTGGACAGCCTGAGGTGCAACCTGGCGGCGCCGGATGGACCGAAACATGATATCCCAGAGGTGTTCTATTGGACTTAGGTCAGGCAAGCGTGGGGACCATTCAGTGGTATCACTTCCTTCATCCTCCAGAAACTGCCTGCATCACTCTCGCCACATGAGGCCAGGCATTGTCGTGCACCAGCGTAGGGTCTGACAATGGGTCCAAGGATTTCATCCTGATACCTAATGGCAGTCAGGGTGCCATTGTCTACCCTGTAGAAGTCTGTGCATCCCTCCATGGATATGCCTCCTCAGACTACCACTGACTCACCACCAAAGCGATCATGCTGAATGATGTTATAGGCAGCATAACGTTCTCCATGGCTTCTCCAGACCCTTTCACATCTGTCACGTTTTCAGGGTGAATCTGCTCTCAACTGTGAAAAGCACAGGGAGCTAGTGGTGGACCTGCCAATACTGGTGTTCAGTAGCAAATGCTAATCGAGCTCTATTGTGCCAGGCAGTGAGCACAGGGCCCACTAAAGGAAGTCGAGCCCTCAGGCCACCCTCATGAAGTCTGTTTCTGATTGTTTGGTCAGAGACATGCACACCAATGGCCTGCTGGAGGTAATTTTGTAGGGTTCTGGCAGTACTCATCCTGTTCCTCCTTGTACAAAGGAGCAGATACCAGTCCTGCTGATGGGTTAAGGACATTCTACAGCCCTGTCCAGCTCTCCTAGAGTAATTGCCTGTCTCCTGGAATCTCCTCCGTGCTCTTGAGACTGTGCTGGGAGACACAGCAAACCTTCTGGCAATGGCACGTATTGATGTACCATCCTGGAGGAGGTGGACTGCCTGTGCAACCTCTGTAGAGTCCAGGTATCGTCTCATGCTACCAGTAGTGGCACTGACCCTAGCCAAATGCAAAACTAGTGAAAAACAATTAGAAGAGATGAGTAGGGAAAAAAAATGTCTGTGGCCTCCACCTGTAAAATTATTTCTGTTTTGGGGGGTCATGTCATATTTGCCCATCTAGTGCACCTGTTTTTAATTTCATCAACACCAAAGCAGCTGAAACTGATTAACAACCCCCTCTGCTACTTAACTGAACAGATCAATAGTCCAGGAGTTTAATTGACTTGATACTATACTCTGATGAAAAAGTGCTCCTTTAATTTTATTGAGCAGTGTATACAGTTTTAACCAGATAGTTCTAGCCAGAATAGCTAAAATATTTGCCCTCACAACCCTCACATTGTTTTAGGGGTTGCCCAGATGAGGGAACACTTCTGCATATATGGTGGACCTGTTCTGTAGTCTCCTCACTCTGGACTGAAGTATCTAGCATGTTCTCACTATTACTGTACACGCAAGTTCCACCTGATCCAACTACAGCACTGTTACATAAATGTCCCCAAGATCTGACATCTGCACAATTCAAAATCCTCCTGTATGTAACAACTACCACTAAACAGACCATTGCTAGATCTTGGAAAAAAACTACGTTTTACATCATCGAAGTGTAACATAGAATAACACAATTCATGATACACAGCAAAATCAAGGCTACTCTGCTAAACCGTGTACCAAAACACCTAAAAATCTGACAGCCATGGGTTGATCATTACCTACGTTCTAATTTTGACCAATCCTTGCTGGAACCCTATTTGCTCTGTGAGGAGCAAATGCACCCCTCTTGACTGTAAGGGTACAAGGTGTTGTCAGGCCTGAGTGGAACTCTGAACAACTCCCTCCCTTCTCTTCCTTCTTTTTCTCTCCTCTCTCTCCATTTACTTTTACTCCTTTTTCCATTTTTTCTTTTACTACTCAGTTTATCAGCCACTCCAAATAGGGTACCTAGGAGCCTTAGATATCACCTTCCCTGTATGACAGGGAACTCAGGAATGTCACACTAGCTATAATATGCTTGATGACATTGTCTACATTGTAATCACCAATTGTATATCCTATTTACTCACAAATAATGTATCTTATGTCAAAGGAGTGTAACAAATTGCGATTCAATATATGCTTTATTAAAGCTTGTACACTGCTGTTTCTTCAATAACATTTTTGAAGTATCTTTTGGTGAATATATTTTAATGTTAAAATTATATAGTATGAATCAAGTTCATTCTTTAAACTTACTGCAATAAAAATGTTTACAGTCTCTCCACAGACATGGTTAACTACTGTGAAAGTGTATATAAAATCATTCATTATACACCATTAGTTCTCCCATTTCAAGCAGCTTTCAGATAACACAAGTTTAATATCTAATAAAACAGAGAGAGAGGTATATGGGAATCATTTTTACAATTTTTGACAAATGTATATACAAATACTTCCTCCCTCTTTCATTCTATCAGGTGACCATGTATGGAAAAGCAACAATACTGTCAGCCTGTGAAAGATCACTGCTCAGAATACCACACATTGTTTACTTAGAAGTATGACTTTATGGAAAAGCAGTAGAGCAAGATGTCAGATGTTTTCTCACAACAGACAAAAGTGTAGATAATTCAGTAGGTACATCTGAGATGAAATGAACCTAAACACAATTCAAGAACTATTGGAACATTGCTATGATAGCAATTTATATGCTTCATGTGCGTCCTATCCTTATAGAAGGGAACACGTATATGAGGAAGGGAGATTAGAAATCAAGGGTCCTGTAATGATTTTGGTTTGTACCCTAGCTTTTTATGTCTCCAAGTTATGTTCTTGTATGCAACAAGATGTATTGTTTATAAACAAACTCTTCTGTGTAAAATGCTTTGATCACATCTACCCCTTTTAGGTGTGTAGTGGATTCTGTTTTCAGCAAAATTTGTGTTAATGACTATAAAAGGCACAATAAACTACACTAACAGTGTACCTTAAATTAATACTAAAAGGCATAGTTTTTCTTTTTGTTTAAATAACAAACATCTCATACTTACCTGCTCTGTGCAATGGTTTTGCATGGAGCAGTGCCAAACCACCTCTTCTCGGGTCCTCCCCACCAATGCTCCTGGCCCCTCGCTCTCTTCTCAGTGGCTGTGATTGATAGCAGCGGGAGCAAATGGTTCCTGCTGCTGTGTGTCAGCCAATGAGGAGAGAGAGAGGTCCGGGAGAATCACGGCTCCAATGCACAGAGCTGGGTTGAGAGCTCAGGTAGGTATTGGGGGAGCAGCACACAGCACACAGAAAGTTCTTTACCTTCACGCATAGAATGCATTAAGATTAAAAACCTTCAGCCTTAACAACCACTTTAAAAGGCATTATAAACCTTCCTACCTGCATATTGATCATATAAGTTTATGTAAACATGAGGCATGTGGCATGGCACTGCATAAGTTAAAAGGCTAAGTTCACCTTATTCAAAAAATTATAAATGCACATCTTTGCAGGAAAAAAAAATGTGCATTTATTTCTTGTTTTTCTGAGGAGCCAGCAGAGCATTGCACCTGTGATAAATGGATTGCACGTATAATGTCAGCCTCAACTCTCCTTTTGTGTCCATACCTCTGTATGCGCTTCCAGTTTCAAAGCTGAAGGAAGAGTGAATGGGCTACAAGGGAGCTGATGAAGAACAGACTGGACTTTTTCTTATTCCTGTGAATTAATGCCATTTTAAAAATTGACAGTGGGGAGAGTAAACTTATCCTTTAAAGCTTTAGTCTGTAGTCTGATAGAGTTATTTATTTATTTCAGGTACTTATATAGCACCGTTAATTTTACACAGCGCTTTACATATATATATTGTACATTCACATCAGTCCCTGCCCTCAAGGGGCGTACAATCTAAGGTCCCTAAACTCACATTCATACATACACATACTATGGACAATTTAGACAGGAGCCAATTAACCTACCTGCATGTCTTTGGAGTGTGGGAAGAAACCGGAGTACCCGGAGGAAACCCACGCAGGCACAAAGAGAACATGCAAACTCCAGGCAGGTGGTGCCGTGGTTGGGATTCGAACCAATGACACTAGTACTGTCAGGCAGAAGTGCTAACCACTAAGCCACTGTGCCGCCTCAGAATTGACACTTCTATGAAAAAAAACATATCCTACAATCCCCGACTCTCACATTTGTTATGCAACACAGAAGGAATGGCAAGGCATGCACTGGATGCTGCATTAACCGGAACAATGTAGCACATTTATTTGTCTACATAGCAAATAGGGACAAGATAGGTGGAATAGTACATGGAAACAGGGAAGCTGATCAGCCATAACACAAGCTGCAGCCACAACATGTGACCCTGTCATTACAAGGTAAGGCAAACAAAGGACACAGGGAAAAGAACTACACGAATATCTAGTTAAAACAACAAAAAACATTTGAAAGTGTACAAGGTCTTTAAACACATCACTGTCAACAGGGCTTTACTAACTGACCCCGTACATAATATATTAAAAAGCATCAAACTGCTTTCAGGTATAGCATACATCTGCACTACAACATTTGAATTACCTGCAGCTCCACTTTCTTCTCCTGTCTTACATCATGCAGCTGCTTCTGCAATGCTTTGATCTTTTTTCTCCCTTCCTGCTCCCTGTGAAAGAAGCAAAGCATAACTTCCAATTCATATCGCCTGACGCCCGGGACATGCAGTTGTGGGTGTCGGGCAGGAGGTTTTTATTTACATTTAGCCCTGCTGCGGGCAAGCAGCAGGGTTTACATTTTTTTTTCTTTTTTTTTTTGCGTAGTGGACACTGGTGAAGCATGCTACACCAGAGTTAACAGGTTCTCTACTCATCCATGCTGCTGTTCGGTGCAGGTAGTCCCCTCTCCGCCAGCCTCTCACTAGCTTGGTGGCTCCCTCAGCCCATCCATTCGGCAGCACTGTTGAGTCCTGGCCACTCCCACACTTTTCTTATTCTCCTCCTCCTTCTTGGACACGCTGACAAGCCGCCCTTCCCGCACCCCTCACCTCAGCACTTGCACTCCTTCTCTCAAATTGTATCCCTCCGTCTGCATACACTCTGCTGCAGAATACATACACAGCGACCCAGACCACCATACAGGACATATCAATGGCAACAAACATTAAACTCTGTCCTATTACTACTTATCTACTCCACCTGCCATATCCACATACTGCATTGTACTTTGTGATTGATGAATGTAGGGATAATCAGAGGTGGCATGTCACCTCTGCCCATCCCCACGCTCCGCATGCCACCTCCGACTGTCCCCACGCTCCGCATGCCACCTCCGTCCATCCCCATGCTCCGCAGCATGCCACCTCCGACCGTCTACAAGCGCTCGGCATGCCACCTCTGACCGTCCCCACGTGCCCAGCATACCACCTCCGACTGTCCCCACGCGCTCGGCATGCCACCTCCAACCGTCCCCGCACGCTCGGCACGCCACCTTTGACCGCCCTCACGCACTCGGCATGCCACCTCCTACCGTCCCCACATACTCGGCACGCCACCTCCGACCGCCCCCACACGCTTGGCACGCCACCTCCGACCGCCCCCACACGCTTGGCACGCCACCTCCGACCGCCCCCCATGCTCGGCAGGATGGTCAGCCTTAATTAAAATACGGGTTTGGTTAAAAAAAAAAAACTATCAGGAGAAGTAGATTAGGACCCTGATTTAGTTCTTGGACAAGTAGTTTTTAAAAAAAATTTCCACACCCCCGATAACAAATTTCAGAATTAACATATTAAAGCCAACATCCATAAATTTGTTAAGTTGCATGTATAATATCAAAAGGAACATCATTAGACCTGTGTATATTAAATACCACCCTTTGCACCCAGTGTAATATATGACGGATGCCACTCTAGACCTCTTCCTGTGCCTGTAATTTGGCACACACTAGGGATATTTACAGAGCCAATCACATTAGAAGTACAAAATAGGAATGATGTGTAGTTATGTCCAACTTCTTTGTTAACATCTCCTTCTAGTGGTACGAAGCAACACTGCAAAATTTGACATGCTTCAGATCAAAGATAGGCATGTGTGTAAAGGGAAAATTGTAAATAAAAAAATGCTTTCAGAAATAATTTGCCAAACTCACTAATGAAAAATCTCTCACCTGTCTATTGTGTTGTAGAAATTAGTTTTTTTCTCTTTTTCCAGAACTACAGCATGCTGTAGGGTCTGAAATGATCCTGTGGTTTCCAGCTCCTTTAGCATATCTGTGATGACATCTGCTGCAAACTGCCTGTTCAAGAAAGAACCATTATTATATGTGTACCGGCTATTTTTAACGAGTAAACCAAATTAAATGCCATGAATGATTTTGTAATTAAGGGGAACCTGCACTATAATAAAGTCCACAGAGTTCACCTTAATTTTTTGTGATAGTTTTCCCACATCAACCAGTCTCATCAGCTAGAGCAAGAGTATTGAATTAAAATTCATGGAGGTCTGATTAGTAATATTTTCATCCAGCAGAACTCCAAATCGCAATCCATCTTTACATCACAGCCCAGGTCCGCAAGCACAGCTTTTCCTAGCAGAAAATGCTGTGTCTGCATTTTCTGCTAGGAAAAGATCCTGCCACCTTCTTAAAAATGCAGCCACATGGAAACTGCATGGTGCGTTTGTTCCAATGCAATTTCCAAGTGCGGGAAAATTCACCATATATTTCAGTGTGTTTAAGAGTTAATGGTACCCTCGCATATTTTCTGTGTAGCACCACATTTTGTGTGGGGCTGCAGGTCCCCCTCGCATCTCCCCCACTTCAGCACTGTCCCCCCTTCACATATCCCCCCCCAGAGCACTGCCCCTTTCCCATCCCCCCACAGCACAGCCCCCCGTTACAGAAACCCCCCACAGAAAGCACTGCCCCCCTACGACAGCACTCCTTACCTTTACATCACCGATCCACACAGACACACAGCACTGCTCCCCTTCACATATGCCTCATCCCACAGAACTGGCCCCCGTTACAGCAACCCCTACAGACAGCACTGCCCCCCTTTACAGCAACCCCCCCACAGACAGCACTGCCCCCCTTTATATGTCTCTCTCACACACACACACTCCTCCTCCCCTTTACATCACCCATCCACACAGCACTGCTCCCCTTCACGTATCCCCTCCCCCAGAGCACTGCCCCGTTACAGCCACCCCCCACAGACAGCACTGCCCCCCTTCACACATATCCCTTCCCCCACAGCACTGCCCCCCATTACAGCAACCCCCCACAGACAGCACTGCCCCCCTTCACATGACCCCCCACAGAGCTGCCCCTTTTACATGGCCCACACACACACACACCACTAACCCCTTCACATCCCCCCACAGCACTGCTCCCCTTTACATGATTCCCCGCACACACAGTACTGTTCCCCTTTACATGACACCCCCCCCAGCACTGCCTACCTTTACATTACCCCCCCCCCCCCCAACACAGCACTGCCCCTTTTACATGATCCCTCCATGCACAGCACTGTCCCCATTTACATGTTCCCCCCACAGCACTCCTCCCCTTTACATCACCCATCCACACACACACAGCACTGCTCCCCTTCACATATCCCTCCCCCACAGCAACCCCCCCACAGACAGCACTGCCACCCTTCACATGACACACACATACAGTACTGCCCCCATTACATGCACCCCACACACAGCACTGCTCCCTTTACACACACACACACACACACACACCACACACCACACACCCACACACACACACCACACACACACACACACACACACTGCCTCCTTTACATGCCCCCACACACACACACACAGCACTGCCCCCCTGTACATCACAACCCCCCCAACACACACATCCAACACTGCCCCTTCACATCCCCCCACAGCACTGCCCTCCTTTACATGATTCCCCACACACACAGCACTGCCCCTTTTACATGATCCCCCCATGCACAGCACTGCCCCCATTTACATGACCCCCACACACACACGCACAGCAAAGAGAGGGAGGCAGAGCACCACCTAATGGAGGGAGTGAGCTGCCAGGTTAACTTTTCATAATAACAAGCTGGTAATTGGTTTCTAGGACTGCCCTCTGCATATTAGTAGCCAATCACCTCCTGGTTAACTTGAAAATTTAATTCAGGCAGCTGCCGCATCCGTTCTCCATGCAGTGCTGCTCCCACCCTTAGTCCAGAATTGTCCCACCTTCCTCCATCTACTCTGCATATGACAGCGGTGGAGCTGCTGCTAAATGGAACGACTGCGGCAGTCTAGTTAGGACAATAACTCGGTCCAGAAACGAACTGCAGTCTGCCATTTACTGATGCCTGAGCTAGAGGATAATGAACAAATTGGTTTGTTATTTTGTTTATAATAAGGTTACTGTTAGGGCTCACCTGTCGGCCTGCACTTTCTTTAAGTTGTCAGATGTTAAGGGACTTTGCTTTACTGCTTTGGTAAACTGTTCATTGCTAATTTTCAGCTTTTCACTTGTTTCATGCACCTGATCCTTCAGGTCCACCAACTTGTTTGACAAAGGAGGGGGTGTTAACTGAAGACTGGAGTGTGAGCCAGTCAGCTCCTCAAACCTCCCTTCCAGCTGTCTCTGTGTCTTCAGAATTGTGCCAATTTCATTTCCAACCATCTGAATTCAGATAATAAAAAGAACATAATAAATATAATTGTACCAATTTCACTTTTACTGAAATACGAGAAGATGTTTTTTCCTAATGTTTTATTTATGCATTTTATCCAGTAACAATGTAGACACAAAAAAAGAGATGTCCACAAAGAAAATATGTTAGGGTGAACAAAGAAAAACAGAGCATCAATATGGACCTTCTGTGGGATGGGAGGATAAAGTAAAAAATTCACAGTATATATAACTTGTGTTTGCCATTTACACTTAGATGTATACATGAAGTACATGGATAGAGACATACATAAAACAATAAATTACTATGGTGAGTAGTTTAAAATTCCTTTATACCTGCTTGCAGAAGAAACAAAAAGAAAAAGCAGTGTAACACTTTAGCCAAACTATTATTTGGACAAAGAACAGCAAAGAGATAGAAATAGAATTAAGGCAGGAAAATAAAAAAAGAGGAAAGGATGGGGAGGAGCAGGGGAGCACTTTTTCTACCTAGGGTAAGTGTAGGGAGACACAAGAATAATCCTTACATACAAGGATGACTCCATAGGATGCTGCAAGAGAAAGGAGTCACCCTAAAACAGAAAACTTGGGGGTTTGATTGAGGCACCAGCATAAAGTGATATTAAAGGCAAAAAAAAAAAAAAAAAAACAATGGCGCATGCGTGGTGGTCCAAGATGGCGGCCGCTTAATACCGGAACTTTGTCAACTCTCGGATTTACCGGCCTTCCCACACTGCTTCTGCCGCATCTATTGCTCCAGGAGCGCCTTCTACCAGGTCTCCACACACCACTGCATCCCCATGGGAAGAAAAAAAAAAAAAAAAAAAAAAAAAAATCGGGCACTGGAAGCTGTCCACTCTGCCTCCTCCAGACCCTCGGCGCTGGACCGTTCTTTACTAGGCCCGCATCCCCGGCCTCGAGCAGCGGCGGCAGCCCCGGTGAGCCCTCCAGGAGACCTGCTGATATGGATGCAGACCCTCCTGCAGCTTCTCAACCCATGCCAGGGACCCCAGCTCTGACAATGGACACCTTAGAAGACAAACTGCAAGTATTTCTGCGTAATATTACTGCCACTATCTCTGCCGAAGTTGGGAAACTGGCCCAGCAGCTTAGGGGCGAGACCACTCAAATAGGAGACCGCTCAGACCACCTTGAGACCAAATTTGACGAACTGGTACAATATGTCCGTGTTCTGGAGGAGGATAACGCCAACCTGAAACACTATGTCCCAATTACAGCTTCAACAGGAGGACTTGGAATATACGGAGCACCACCAGAACATTTGTATTTGCGGCATAACTGAATCGGCCTCTGATACTCAATTCCAACGCCATTTGTTGTCCCTATTCACTACTCTAGCTCCTAGGGTCCAAGAGGTTAATTGGTGGTTGGATTGAGCCCATAGGTCGCTAGGTCTGAAACCCTCCAAGGGCACCAGGCCTAGGGACGTTATTGTATGTTTTCATTACTTTGACTGTAAATAAGCCCTGCTCTCTACTCATAATAAGCTCTATTTGGAATTCAAGGAAGAAAGACTCTAAATCTTCAGTGACTTATCTCCCATCACCCTGGCCAAAAGATGGATCCTGTAGCCGGTCACTCTTCACCTCCAGCAGCATCATGTTCCCTACCGGTTGGGGTTCCCCTTTAAGCTCTTGTTCTCCAGGGATAACGCCCGAGTCACTCTCCGTGACCTGCATGAAGCGGACTCTTTTTTTCAAACAGCTGGGGCTCCCTCCCCTGCTGGACGAGACACCTCTGCTACCTCCAACCCCATCCAGATCCTCCACCACTCTGTGTAAGATCTGGACACCAGGTAAACCTAGAAGGAAGTGTTTCCCTCGCACTCCTCAATGTCCAAGACTTCCTGGTTTGATTAGCTCTGCCACCGGATGGTCTTGTTTAGAGGGTCTCCTGTTCTGTTATTTAGGCTCCCTTTTTCCCATTTGTGCATTGCCAATGTTTGTATTGCTATGTCTTGACCACAACCATTTTGCATTTTACTGAGGTAGGCATCTGCCACGATGGGCCAGTTGCCATGTCACCCCCCTGGAATGTCAGGCCTTTGGCCTCGATGATCCGGGATACTTCACCTTCCCTGGGTGTATATCCTTGTTGATATCTTTGTTTCTAGCCACGATTCTTGTGGCCTTTGTTTTGAATGATGTATTTTTGTGCATTAGGCTTCTTGCCTTGTTCATTGCCTGGTTCTCTTTTCCTGTTGTTTTCTGGTTTGCCTCATCGATGATAATTTTCTTGCATTATCCGGTTACTCAGCTGATATGCCGAATGTTGTTTTATGATGACTTTAAAGCTGTTGTCATATAATACTTAAAAAGAAAGTGCAGCGCTAAAACAAATGCAGATTAATACTTCCAGTCCATAAACCAGCTGCACATATGATCATAAGTGAATAAAATCATAATATGCTAAAATATATATATTAAAATGGTGACAGTCTGTGATAGGTGACGGATACAGGAGATGTTAGTGACTTCACGTTCCAGGTGGCGAGGTGATAAAATAGTTAAAATACGCACTCACCAGATGCGTATCTTTCTATACGCATGTAATCAATAACCAGAGGTCC